AGAGAGAGAGAGAGAGACAAACCACACCACTGCCACCCAGCGGCCGCGAAGGCGCGCGTGACCGTGCGCGCGTGCTCTTTGTTATGCCCCGACCTCCGTGAATTTCCATCAGCGGTTATAAGAAGAAGGGGGAAAAAAGCCGACGGCGCCTTTACAACTTCGCAACATTTTACAAGCATATTCATGCACAAGGCCACTCTCCCGCCATTTTGCGTTTTAGGGTGTGGGCTCGAGCCGCTGGTGCGCCGACACACACCCACGCGCCCTGCTGAAGTGTCCGTGAGCAAGACACTGACCCCATGCTGACCTCTGGGGACGTGGAGGGGCATTCGTCCTCCTGCCATTATCATATTAGCATCAGAGGGACGTATCCGCGCTGCTTTCTTATTCCTTTCACCACCATATCTGACGGATTACACATCCAACTGATTCAATAAAGAAGAGACTATATAGGCTCTGCAGGACAACAATTTAATTAGCTCTATATATAACCTAGTTAATGAGGTACTTAACAGGGAGACGTTAATTACAGATTCTATATGGCCCTGCTTTTTTCTGCAGGGCATCCTCTCTCTTCTCTGAGACTTTAAATGGGATTAATCAATCATATTTTTGCACATTTAATTCATCGGCGCCAACGTGCTGCTACAAACGGTTTCATACTCATCTCCTATTTATTTATTTAGCCTATATATGGTGGTTATTTCCACCATTTGTGGTGAAGGCTATAAATACACTTCTGTCACATACAACAAAAAACAAACAAAAAACAAGTAATCTTCCAAAAAAACAACAACAGAATATGTCAGGAAATATGACGATCAGCCTGTTAGTTAAAAGTATGAATAATTGAAAGGTGGTAAACGCAGCAGACAGTGCATTGAAAGCAGGCGAAAGGGGAGGAGGGGATGGGGAGTTTATTTTCCAACAGGGGGCAGAATCACTCTGCAAAATCTCTCTCTCTCTCCCTCTCGCTCATTCTTTCTGATCCTCTCTTTCTCTGTCACGTAGCCTACACACATAAACACACACACTCGCACACACCCGCACAACGGCACACGGGCAACGCCGTAAGATCTGTTGTTTTTCTCTGCAAGCAATTTTCACCTCCTACCAGCTGCCTTAAAAATGTCCTTTAAATAGACTGATCTGAGCCCAGCGGGTGTGCTGTTTTTTTAACAAATAAACTTTTGAGCCCGATCAGAGAAGTGTAGATTAGTTCCAGGGTGTCTAATATATTTTAGCAAATGAAGCCGAAAGGTTGCGGGGACCCCAACGTTTAAAACGTGCTAAAATGATTAAACAGACTTGATTTTTGACAAAGTGCAAAAGAAAGTTTTCTTCCCTCCCCGGAGCTGAAATTAAGTTCTCCTCTAAGGTTACTGTTTGGGATTAGTCTATGGTCTTAAAAAAATAATATGAATCACAGTGAATTTTATTCTTCTCTCCTAAGGGCCTCACGGTTACATCGGGGTCCTGACCCCGGAGCTGGTTGGTGGGAGTTGTGGTTTCATGCTCTTTCATGCTTAATTAAGTTTTAATTAAAGCAAAATCTGGATGTTTGGAGCTTATAAATGATAGAATGAAACATGGCAAAGCAAAGGCATTGGGTAGTTGATGTTTTGCCACGTTGCTTTTATTTCTGCTGCTCATTAGACAATCAGACAATAAACATTAAATGCATATTTCAAGTAAAGATTGAGACTCTCAGAGATCATGATGATCACCATAAAGCAGACCTTTCTCCTTTTATATCAAACAACAAAACCGAACTTATGTGATATCTGTAG